AAAAAAAAAAAAAAAAAAAAAAAGACTACAAAAGTATTCCCTCTAAATTTACCGTGTAGATCCCTCCGTCATAATGCAAAAAGTCATCGTAGACTTCAAAAGCAACTTCAACAGGACCATTTGTAAGGATTTCCTTCTGAATCGCCTCAACATCATCAGCAATTCCATACGCAGTAGATCCTAAGCAATCACTGTTTTGTGACAAGAACGTCAAAAAATACACCCTAATTAAACAAATTCAATTGATATACACTGGTTTTTATTTGCAAACGAATGAAAAATTAGGCTAGCTAGTAGATAAAGAGAAACATTAACCGTAGAACTTGTCACTGGCGTAGCTTCTGTTATAACCATCAATGCATTGTTTAGAGCATTTTGGAGTGGGAAATAGGTCATGCTGACACGGTTTATAATGAGTTTTATTTGAGTGGTGTTCACATGGTGGAAACGGGTACGGTTTGCATCCCTGATTCATGGAAAAGTTGCTCCCAGTAACTATCCCCTCTTTCACCCAGTACTTCCAGGCCGCCATGGGATCACCTCCGTCGCAGCTGTATATTCCCAATATTAAAAGAATTTCAAAGCAGTTGAAAGGGTAAACATTGTTTTCAAATCAACCTAAAATATTATGAAACTGCGGCAGAAAATGATAAAAAAACACTTAGAAAACAACTGCCAATGTAATCTTAACGTTTAACAAGAGCAAGCCTTCAGAATAATAAAAGTTCATGAACCCTCACCCAAAACCACACGATTTACAGCAACTGAGCAGGTCTGCAGCAGAAAGAGAAACTTGTATCCGTCCTTTAGAAGCAATACAGATACGATCCGACATCGCTTCAACTGCACCAAATGCCCAACAAGAACCTAAAAGCATTAAGCATTGCCTTGTAACAAATACTCTGCTGCTTTTAATTTGAAAACTCTACTTCGCGTGCGAGTTACTCCCCTTTGAGAGAACTCCTCAAACATTTCTTTCTACGCGTCTCATCGGATGCTTCGCCGATGGTAGTAGACATAGAAAAACGAGTTTTTAAATAACACACTTGTAATCCTTCTCCATACATCCCAATAATATTCCGTCGCTTTCACCTTCAGAAAAGTCAGTGATAAGGTAGACTAACCGCAAGATGACTGGTCCCTTATATTCTTCAAAGATCCACAATAAGGCCACCTTTCACGAGCATCAAAGTTTTCAGGAATATAGATATTATAAAATCTTGTCGGAGACAAATTCTTCCGCGCACTAACAGAAAGCTTTACATGATCGACCCCCAATAAACCATACTTTACTCGGTCCGAGTAGTCATCAAATTTAGTATTCAGTTTTGCCTAAACAGGGAGATTATCTAACACATTATACACATCAAAAATAGCTTTTAAAATTCTTTGGAGATTATAAGAGCATTTGAGAAGCAGATTTTGTAAGCTTAATATTGAGAAGTTAGATTCCTAAACCGACACAAACAAGAACATTTTTCAAAAGCGTGACCAAACTTCTTGTATACGCTTTTAAAAGCACAAAAGTTGCAGAGAGAGAAGGCAGACTATGAAGATGTGTGAGCTAATACGGGGCAAATATATTTAAAATGATGCTGACAGTCTACTAGTACCAAAAAGAAAAAACTCACCCGCCATAAATTTTGGTTCTGATTTATGTAGTCCACCAACTCCTGTCCCTCCAAACTTTCCGCATATGGATCTATGACACGATTCCGATACTGTTCCAAGACAGATCTGAAATGAAATGTGTTTTATACTCCAGATATGTTCTAATATCTTAATGGAGCTGTAAAATCTAATCCATTTAATTATCTACCAAAGATACAGTGTGTCTATTGAATAATGTAGGATGTTTTCCTGGCTCCTTATGTCTATTTGCAAAGTCCTTTCAAGTGCTAATGAAAAACTAAACAGCTAATTCTGCAAGCAACTACAGATAAAACTTCATAATTAATTTGAAATGCAGCACTGTATACGTCAAAAAACTCCTTCAACATAGTGACCAATGTAACTCGGTATAACTAAACTTTTAGAAAAACGACAAATTTTAAATAAGCCCGCTGATTTTAAAATGAATTCAGCTGATATTTGGATGAAACCTTGAAGTGTATTTGTACAACCAGCAGTTGATACCAAAAATTGGATAGCATTTGCTGGCAGCACCATGAATTAATTCACAAATTCGAAACGTAGCATTGAAATATGTTGGATTAAATTTTCATAAACATGATTAAAATAGCAGTTAAAAGATGACAGGTACAAAGTCCAAAGTACAGTGGCACTTTCAGTGGCCAAAACATTACAGCAAGTGAATTAGCAGTTGCCTACCAGCTGATTACTTGTTCTCGATGACTGGCTTTGCTACTTTACAGTCCCGTAAGATCAGATCAATTCTGAGAATTTCAAATGGATCAATCCTGATTCCTACATATTTGCAGTTGTTACAAAAAAGTAACAAACGCATGACCATTTATGCACATTTTATACCCGTAAAACTTAACTAACTCTACAAACGCTTTAATCATTAAGGTATGCCGGCGTAAACAAAAGGCCCTCAGTTCTTTATAGCAGTATCATACCTTTACCGTTAATTTCAATGTGATGACCACTAAATGCCTAAAGAAGCCACTTTCAAAAAAGTAGAGAATAACTATCCACAACAAACAGGGGTCCACTGAAATGTGTGTTTTTTCACTTCAAAGAAAGTCTGTTTCTAGCCTCTTTCTATTCTATTCAATAAACACCAAAACGTTAAATGAATTTATTACCCAACTTATTTGAATACTTATCTTTCTAGCCTTTATTTCACCCAACACCCATTTATAAATCTTCCAGTTCCCGCCAAGGTTTTTACTACTGTAACCGTCGGTTCTTCACTTTGAGTATCTTCAGTGAGGGCTAAAACTTCTACTCTACAACACCTAGAAAAAAAAAGACGTTCAATTGAAAAAGTCCTAAAAAAACACTACTTTTAACAAAGTGCATCAATCTTCAAGACCCTCTCGTCCAGTAAAAAACTTTTAACTAATAAGAAACTTCTGTAACCTTCGACCCGATGAAGCGTGATCTGAAGACAGCTTGTGCAGACCATGCGCAGTGACCAGAGAAACCAGCACAAAAGAGAGCACTTCAAACTAAAAACTTGGCAGATAGAAGGTGAAAAAAACCAGAAATGGTTTTCAAAACCAGCAAAATCATGTATTTTAGACTTGAATAAAAAAAAAATAAAATATCTGCTCCACATATAGTCGATCACTTTCTAGTCAAGAATAACTTACCAGAAATCCGCCCATTTTGAATTTACCAAATTCCAAACCAAACGGCAATAAGATGGAAGAACAAATGACCGGCGTTTTGCGCTCTACCGCACTAAACGAACCATTATATATCACCTGTTTTACCCCTTCACTCCCACAGAATTTCCTCTGACTCTCTGCCCGTTAACTGGAACGAGGAATGGGAAATATAAAGCTCGGACTAGCTATTCCCGCCTTCAACTCTTTCACGTTATCTGTAAGCCGAACCGAAGTAATAAGCCAACTAGCAAGACACCTTTGCTCAGATCCTTATACCATCCCTTGTCACCGTATTACTTAATAAAAAGCTTCTGTTCACTCTAAGAGCTTTTTGATCAACCATGTGAGAAAATGAAAATTCTTTCATTGTGTGCATAAACCAGCAAAAACTGTCGTTGCTACTGGATATGTAATTTACTGAAGGAGACAAAAAGCTCTGTAATGGAATTTGCTCTCGTCAGAATCCAATTTCGTACCCTCCGGATATGTCACGAAAGTTGACGATGTGGAACGCTTATTTTTGCATTGCACTGTTGCAGAATTTGAAACTGAGTCTAGGCGTTACCGTTGGAAACACTTCCTTTTGCTATTCTCGACAGAGATGACGATTTCATTCCAAAAATGCGTCAACAAGACATAATCAGCCCTACCTGCATTTTCCGCCTGTACTCTTCCAGCAAAAACACTAGTTCCAAACACAGCCAAACACTTCCTGCCACCAAACTCCTCCCTCGTAGGCTCTCATAAAACTCTAGGCACACCGCGAAACTCCCTCGAGTGAAAATCATCACCCTCTGTTTTTTATTTCCCTGACCTGTTAAACCATATCTCTCCTGTTCAATTTGTAAATGCTTCAAGACCGTACGTAACAGTGGTCAACAGATAAATTAGGTTTTGTTAATATTAATGCTGCAGTTTCGCCGAAATCACAGCGATAAAGAACTAAAATCCTAAGTAAACTGCTTCCCGAAGAGAACTCCTCTAGCGATCTGATTTTGCTAAGATCGCCTTCAGTCAGTACATAAATATGGTACGCCCACGCAAATTTATTTTCAAGACGAATTGTTCTACTAGAAAATTCGCTTCTGACTTGGACTTAAAGCTGTGTTACGCAGAATGCCTTATTTACTCTACTGGCTGTAGCATACCGTGTCTCATTTTAGAACCAATAAATTTATCATTCAGACGATTTCATGACCTGCCCATAAAACTTTTCTATTTGCTCTTGCTAAATTATGCCTTTCACAGTCTGAAAAAACCACTCACCTTGCAGCGGAAGCATTGTCCAGAAAATGAAAAACATTTGGGAGCTTCCATAGAACCCACCATCAAATAGTTGCTCCTTTACTGGTTCCGCACAATCACTTATGAAACCTTCTTCGTGACGATGTAAACGACAGCGATACCCACAAGCAGAACAGCGCATCCCATCACAACACCGTTTAAAGGAATAATGCTTCACAACAGCAAACCATAACATGTCACTTCAGTGTGCCCAGACGCAACGCTCGAGTTGTGTCGGTTCTGCCAAACGCTTCTCATCCACTATGAGTGCTCGACACCGGATTGGCGCCTTTATCGCCTCTAAAAGTTTAGCGCTTCTGTCTCAAAGTGATCTCACAGTATTATCTCCAACACTGCACCGGAATTCCTGCCTAGTTATTCTGTGATTTTAAGATATTTTCAAAATACAAAACGACAGCAGTACGAGCAAGTTCCAACTGTTTCCTTGCATCAAGAATTCTTCCTCTCTCAAGATTTGACATGTACTTGACCTCACTTCAAACAACAGCTACCCATACCCCTGTTACGCATCTACTCGCTACACTATAAATCTTGAGACTGATGTTGAGTAGAAACCGTTTAAAGTACTACTGCAATTACCAACAAGGATAATAAACCAAAAATTTATTCAATAAAACAGTCTTCATCTACTAGAACTGCAAACATAACACAACAACAGAGCAAAGGTTTAATTCATACTAACTGGTAAACAGTTCCAAACCACTTTAAATTAAAAACTGGGACTTCCAATATTTAAAATTACAACTGAAGACCTACTGCTTGCCATTTCCGTTTACAGGGACATTTGCCGAATGCCTCTTTTTCAAATAATCCTGAAAGGTTGAGGAAATTGGGAACAATAAAGAAAAGGCACTTTTGAAAAATCTTTAATTTAAAAGAAAAACAAAAACCTTAAGATGTGGTCTTTCGCTCATCCTCTTGTGGAAGCTTTTTAAAGAGGGGAATTTTTCCAAGGCATCTTTGGTCAGAATAAGCTGGATATCCAGCTCTTCAAAGAGGACGTAATCGGTGAAACAGATCTGAAATTCACTTCAAATGAACAGAACGCGCCCCCTAAAACATTTTTCTCTATCTCAGGGAATGCAAAAGGATTCGGACCAGTATCACAACAGGTAATTCTGCTCTGATTTTTCCTTTATTAAACGGAAAATATGAATTACAGAATCTTTGACATTACTGGTTCTGCTGCAGACTTACTTTGTCACCTAAAACGAACCCTTCTCCACCATTACGTGAAATGAGAAGCTTTTCCAACTTTGCCAGCTCGTCGGGCAGGATTTCCTTTATGAAACTATCCTTCTCTGTCTCCTTCAAAACTAAGAACCGATAATAACTTCCACCCATCTTAACCACAATTTTATATGCCATTAAAGCCTATCTTGCTTACAAAATGAGGAAATGAAAAAGTTAATTTTAAGTAAGTCATGCTACGAAGTTACGTGAAGTGCAGCTCAAATGAAACGCACATATGCATTGTAAATCATTTTGCAATATTTAGTATGCAAATCACGAATTCCTTCGTAAAACATATCGGCGTAAGTCGTCTCCATTTCTGTGCTTCCATTCAAGCCTAAAAACCTATCCCTCACAACAAGAAATCAAACTAAACTATATTGTAAATGACCCTCAACCGAAACCAGTAACCAACCACCCCACCGAAAGAACGAAAATAAAGACCCAGATTGAATCCTATCTCTTAACAGCTAAAAAAGCCTACAGGCTCTCGAGAATTTCAAAACGCACACATCCTCCTAGCCCATAAGCACCATTCCCCTAACGCCCCGCAAGTTAAAAACATTGGAGTAAATGTTGAAATAAAAGTTCAATTTTATAACGTGCAAGTAGTTTCAAATTCCTGAGTTCACCGATCCGCAACTCAAATTCTTGGAGGTACAAACGACGTACAAAACAACAAAAGGTAGTAGAAACATAGGCACCATGTTTTCGCGCTAAATGACGAAGAATTGCACCAGACTGCACAATCTGTTCGTTATCGTCGTAAAGGCATGGGACTTGACCAAATTGCTTGAAAGCCAAAATGTTGAAGGAAATGTGAAAAAATTTCAAGCTACAAAAGCTTAATTCACGTATATTCGTTAAGAAATTAAAAATGTAGGATCTCTTTCTTTTAAAAATGGCACTCAAACAGCAAAGACGAAAATAAAATAACTTATTACAAATTGTTTCTTTATTGAAGGCCATTCCGACTTGTCAACTCTGTGATCATCATAAGGAATTTGCTGATCAGTTAGCAACAATCGAATCGGTTCTGCCAGACCTAAAATTCAATTAACCTTTACGTAGAAGATGAACTTATCCACCCCTCAGCTTGGGTTCAGCACCAAAAAAAAAATATATATATAT